TCCTCCTCCTCCTGGTCCTCCTCCTCCTTTTCCTCCTCCTCCTCCTCCTCCTCCTCCTCCTCCTCCTGCTCCTCTCCTCCTCCTCCTCCTCCTCCTCCTCCTCCTCCTCCTCCTCCTCCTCCTCCTCCTCCTCCCCTCCTCCCTGCGCGCATCGCCCGCCGCGCCCGTGGCCCCGAAGAGAAACTGGCCCTGCACGGCAGGCTCACATCGGAATGAATCCGGGCGTCGGCCTCGGTCGCTTCGCGGAGAGCGCTGCGTTCCGAGCGGTGTCCGCCGTCCACTGAGATGGGCCTGTTTTCCACCACCACCACCACCAGAAGTTGGAAGGGGAGGAGGAGAAAGAGGAGGACGAGGAGGACGACGAAGAGAAGGAAGAGGAGGAGGTCCTCCTCCTCCTCCTCCTCCTCCTCCTCCTCCTCCTCCTCCTCCTCCCCTCCTCCCTGCGCGCATCGCCCGCCGCGCCCGTGGCCCCGAAGAGAAACTGGCCCTGCACGGCAGGCTCACATCGGAATGAATCCGGGCGTCGGCCTCGGTCGCTTCGCGGAGAGCGCTGCGTTCCGAGCGGTGTCCGCCGTCCACTGAGATGGGCCTGTTTTCCACCACCACCACCACCAGAAGTTGGAAGGGGAGGAGGAGAAAGAGGAGGACGAGGAGGACGACGAAGAGAAGGAAGAGGAGGAGGAGGAGGAGGAGGAAGAGGAGGAGGAGGAGGAGGAGGAGGAGGAGGAGGGGCAGGAGGACTCCCTCTCCCTCCAACTTATGGTGGTGGTGGTGGAAAACAGGCCCATCACGACATCGGAGATCGAGCAAGACTGGCCGAGGCCAGGCAGCCAGCGACACTCAGCCTAGGACACCCGCGCTGCGGCCGCCGCCGCGTGGGCGCGGCGCTTGGCTGTACCGCACCCCGCCCTCCTTATCCCGAGCTGACCTTGAAGTCCGAGGGCCCGGGAGGGGCCCTAGGATGATCGGCCTGTTTTCCACCGCCACCACCATAAGTTGGAGGGGGAGGGGGTCCTCCTGCTCATCCTCCTCCTCCTCCTCCTCCTCCACCTCCTCCTCCTCCACTTCCTCCTCCTCCCACCTCCTCCTCCTCCTCCTCCTCCTCCTCCTCCTCTTCTTCGTCCTCCTTGTCCCGAGCTGACTCTGAAGTCCGAGGACCCAGGAGGGGCCCTGGGACGATCGGCCTGTTTTCCACCACCACCACCATAAGTTGGAGGGGGAGGGGGTCCTCCTGCTCCTCCACCTCCTCCTCCACCTCCTCCTCCACCTCCTCCTCCTCTTCGTCCTCCTCCTCCTCGTCGTCCTCTTCCTTCTCCCCTCCACCTTATGGTGGTGGTGGTGGTGGTGGTGGTGGTGGTGAAAACCAGGACCATCATGGGGAGGCCTACGGCAAGGGGCAGCGACAGGGTGGCACCAGCTCAGGGGGGCGGGGAGCACCGATCGGGCATAGGGCGATGCATCGCCGACGGATCGGCGGCAGGCTCCCCGAGAGCGAGTGAGCCCGCTCCTGGGCGGGGGTGGGCTGCCTGGCCCCTGTCGGCGAGCAATGGGCGATCGCAAGTCGATGCATCACTTGGAGGCCTGGAAATGGGCACCAACACCAACAGAGGGGGTTGCCTCCACAGGGGGGCAGATGATCAGAGCTTTCGGTGTTGGTGGTAATAGTTCGGCCACCTTGGAAGCCAGAATTATCACCACCATCACCGAGATCGGGACCCTCCTCCCTCGGTGGAGGCACACCACCGATATTGGTGTTGGTGTTAACCTCTAGGCCTGCGAATCACCCCCTGAGCCGTTCCCCCCCAAACGATGCCCCCGATCAGGACCCCGTGCCTGAAAAACCCTTTTTCGTCACGCAGCGGGGTCACAGGCCGGAGAAAAAGCTGCCCGCCTTCCGCGCGGACTCTGCGACGGGGCCCTTCGCGCCACCTTCTGCGGCAACTCACGGGAGCCTCCCATGCCATCTGGCCAACTCTTGTGAGTCGGCGCTGCTCGGCGCTAGCCGACGCTGCATCGACGCGAATCGACGCTACAGTGCGGACGCGGCCGCAAGAAGCCATCGCAAGACACCCGGCCCTGAAAACCCGTGCGGGACTTGCGCCTAAGAAGGAAACCCAGAGCACCCTGAACGCATCAGCTTCTTCAACGGCCGCGGGAAGTCACCGAGCAGCGCGGGGAGCGTAGAGCCCCAGGGCACCCTGACGAAAGGCACCTTGTTTCTTGATGCGCGCCCCCATTGTAATCGACGCAAGTCGACGCTCAATCGGCGCTACCTCATCAACTACCAGACGCGAATCACCGCGAGAGCACTCCAAACGCGGAATCGCGAGGGCACACAAGACTCCCATGATTTGCTACCGAACGCCACCCTTCCGGCGCTTCTTGCGGCGCGCGCGGGGTTCGTCCGAGTCGTCGCTGTCGACGGAGTCGGGCGTGCCCTCAGCGGCGCCGTCTGCCTGCGCCCCCGAAGTGTTGAGGGCGACGTCCGTGGGCCATATCTGAACCGACGGCTGTCCGTGAGACGCGGACGCCACGAGGGTCCCGTCGGCAGACAGGGATAAACGCTCCAGTGGGTAGCCGCCCTCCCCGTGCTCACCCAGTACGCTCAGCACGCGGCTCCCGTGGTCACGGCTGTGCACGGACACGACGCGTATGAGCCCGTCAGACGAACCTGTCAGTATCCTCTCCTCGGACAGCTTAACGACAGCGTCCACCGACATCGGGTGGCCTTTGATTCGGTCCTTGAGGTCGCCGAAGTCTCCCCAAGTGAAGATTGCCAAGGCCCCAGTCTGAGACCCGCAGACAACCTTCGTACCGTGCTTCACGATGGCCAGCGAGAGGTACTCATCCTCCTGGAAGTCAGACATGGCGACAAGCCCCTTCTCGCCGCTCTTGCGCATGTCGTACACTGCTAGCGTCCCGTCGCCGGAGGTGGCACACAGGTTGTTTCCGTCGCTGCCCAGAGCCATATCGGAGATGAAGTCTTCATTCTCCTTATATCGGATGACGGACTTCGCTTGCCTGATATCATAGATGCGGACATGGCCATCATCGTCCCCGACGGCAAACCGCTGGTGATCCAGGGGCAGCAACGCGTTCCCGGCGGCGACGAGCTTGGCCCGCCACACCCGGTCTCCGCGCTCCACGTCCGAAAGGACGGTGAACTTGTCGGCGGACGCAGACGCGAGCCGCTCCCCAGCTCTGGAGCTGCCCTGGTCAGCACTTGACGCCAGGGACCCCAAACGGGGGCCTTGCTGAACCAGGATGCTGGCGCGCCCGAGAAAGCTGCAGCAGTGGATCGAAACATGCGCCATTCTGCGGTCTCCCAGAACGGAAGTTTCAAAAACCAACCGGTTAGCAATGGCCTGGTTTAGGAGCCCCTGATGACGGCAAGAAGCGCGCCGTCCGGCACGAGTCCGCGTGGGCGGCCCAGCTCAGGCGCTTCTCGGACGAGGTGGCCTCCAAATCATACCTGTGCAGCTCGATCTCGCCAGATATCGTCGCGATGGCCACCAGAGGCTCCGCGGGGTGGAACTGAACATCGAAGCAATGAGACGCCGAGCTCAGGGAGACCAACGCGGTGGCCGCCATTGCCTGCGCAGCTGGGGCCAACTGCTCCTACAAGATTTGAGGGGCAACGTTAGCGGAGGGCCGGCTCAGGAGGGGGGGGATTGGACCTGGCATGTGCACTGCGTCGCCGATAGATCGGCGCTTGGCCCCCCCGATGGCGAATCCGAACACCCCTGGGCGGGATGGACTACACCCCTGCTGAGAGTTGAGAAAAGTTCTACGCCAAGAGCATGGACTTCACACCGGGCGGGCACTTATTAAATAGAAGTCGAGGCCCAGATCTACGAACGCTCTACGGAAAAAAGGAAGCTCCAATGGGGACGCCCAGGGCCCAGCCCAGACTTCTTCGCTGATTCTCTTGGACGACATCTGGAGCCCAGGAACGTTGACGTTTTCTCTCATCTGGTCCCTATCTCGGGACGACCGACATAGGTACGGAAAGAATGGGCACAATGCCCAACAGCAAGTGTTGTCCCGAACCAACCGCGGCCGCTGCTTGGCGGGCGGCCTTCCGTCTCAATTGGACACAAATCCGCGGCGGCGCCGACAGTGATTCCTGTTCACAATGAACAAGAACTACTGTCGGTCTTTGTTGAAGGAGCCCTGGGACACACAAACAAGTGGCACGCGTGCCCTGGCCCTTGCACAAAGGAGCTGCGAAGGACTGGGAAGCCTGGACGGAGGGAGGCTGGACGGAGGAAGGCTCCCAAGGGTGGGTGGCTCAGGGTAGCTGGGGCTCAGGCTCAGGGGGGGGCCGAGGGGGACGAACCACCACGAGCCACGAACCACGACGAAAGTAAAGGGTTCCGCGGCCAAGGGGGGCTGCCCTGGGAAGCCTGGACGGAGGGGGGGTCCCAAGGGGGGGTGGCCCAGGGGAGCTGGGGCTCAGGCTCAGGGGAGGGGCCGAGGGGGACGAACCACGACGAACCACGAACCACGACGAAAATAAGGATGTCCGCGGCCCAGGGGGGCTGTCCTGGGATGCCTGGACGAAGCAAGCCTCCGAAGGGTGGGTGGCCCAGGGGAGCTGGGGCTCAGGCTCAGGGGAGGGGCCGAGGGGGACGAACCACCACGCACCACGACAAAAAGAAAGATGTCCGCCTCTAGAGCACCACTATGCAAGATAATAAATGCACATACCTAACCGGATCCCCCATATGTTCGCATGTTTTCCGGGTTTCTGTCCCCCCCCCCCGCTCCCCATGTTTTCCCCCATTCTCCTGGGGATCGACGATGACGTGCGCGTCTGTGTGATCTTTCCCTCTCCTGCAAGAGCTGCGGCCGGTCTTCGTGTGCCCGCTCTCTCCGTGCCCGCGTCGGTCGTCCCGACGTGCCGGCGATCTCCGCGGGCGACCCGGGGGGGGGGGTCGACGCGCCGCCCCCCGCGCGGGCCTCGCCCTATCCCCCCTCCAAGAAAAGCACGGCTGCCTGGGGCCCAGGCGCACACGCAGACACCATGGACACACAGCTCCCAGGAGATCCCCCACGGGTTTTCCCACATCTCCTGTGGGGATATGTTGTGCTCCCCCTTTCCACTCCCCAGGTGTACGTGCTCCCGTGTTTGTTGCTGCCTCTGTTTTCCCCCTGGGGGCCGACGCTCCATTGCGTCTGTGTGCTACCTTCCTGGGGATCGGCGCCGAGATCCGTCTGTGCATATCCCACCAGCCCTCTGGGCGTCGGTGGTTTAGGGCGTTTCCTCTTCCACCCCTCCCTCTTCCCCTTCGGGGAGGGGTTTACCCCTCCCCCTACCCCCTCCCCACTGACCTGGACAGGAGGGGCGGGGAGCGGTCAGAGCGTCCAAAACGGCCTCGGCGAGGAAGCCAAAATCATTGATTTTACTATGGTTTTGGCCCCATTTTGGCCTTCTGAGGGGGCAGCGCTAATTAGAGCTCCCCTCTTCTTTCATCGATTTCCTCCACGATGCCCGCAAGAGGCCCCCAGGATGCCCCAGAGGCCCCGAGATGGCCCCAAGATGGCCCCATGTGGCCCCAAGAAGCTCCCAAGAGGCCCCCAGGATGCCCCCAAGAGGCTCCCAAGAGACCCCGACGAGGCCCCAAGAGACCCCCCAGAGGCACCCAAGACGCTACAAGAGGCCTCGGCGAGAATGCCCAAATCATTGATTTTACTAAGGTTTTGGCCACATTTGGGCCTCCTGGGGGGGGTGGCACTGCTTCAGATGACTCCAAGAGCGCCTGGGAGAGCCCAAGATGACCTCCAAGATGGCTCAAGATATCCCAAGATGCCTCAAGATGGCTCCCACGATGCTCCAAGAGGCCCCAAGACCGCTTCAGGAAGGCTCCAAGTGGCCAAAGAGCTCCCCCAGGAGGCCCCGAAGAGGCCAAAATCCTTCCAAAACCTTCGGAAAATCAACATTTTGGGCTTTCTCGCCTTTTCGCTTCCGATGGCCATCCGAGGCTTCAAGATGACTCCAAGATGGCCCAAGAGGGCTCCAAGAGCGCTCTGGAGGCTCCCAAGAGCGCTTCAAGAGGGCCCCACGAGGCGCCCATGAGGCCCCAGGAGGCCCCAACAAGCGCCCCAGAGGCCTCCAAGAGGCCCCCAAGAGACCCCCAAGAGGCCCCAAGAAGCTCTCCAAAGCACCCAAGACGCTCTAAGAGGCGTCCGGGACCGCCAAGAGGCCCCTAAGACGCTCCAACCGGCCTCCACTGGGGTACCCTTCCTTTGTGTGCTGCCCACTTCCCTGATCGAGGCACTTCCGCTGGGCATCGTTTCTGGATGGTCTGGTGGGGTTACGCGAAGCGTCTAGAATTTTTCATCCTGACTGGCGTACGCTTCGGTGGCAACTCATGGGAACCTCCCATACCATCTTGTCGGCTCTTGCGAATCGTCGCTAATTGACGCCAGATCGACGCCAGCCAGCGCTACATCGACGCGAATCGGCGCTAACCGACGCTAAATCGGCGCTATCTCATCGACTCCCAGACGCTAATCGACGCTAAAGACGGAATGAAGAGGTATACCAGGCTCCCGTGATTTGCTACCGAACCTGCGCCATGTATAGATATGAGTAAATATGTATATATATGTATATATATGTACTAGACCCATCACGCGCGCTTCGCGCGCGCTCAAGTTCTAGCTAGGCTTGATCGGCTAACTCATGTAATATCATTTTGGCCGCTTCTTGCGTCCAGGGACTCCCTTGGAGGCCCTGCGTAAAGCCTCGGAATCGTATAGAAGGGGAAGTGCGGAAACGCAGAAATCATTAATTCCCTTTAGGCATTCAACGATTTGGGGCCCTCAGAGGCTTCCTGGGTTCTTTCTTGGGAATGAGGGGGGTCTTAATTGTGATCTGTTGTGCAAGAGTAGACCGGGGACAAAACTTGAAAAAAGGACTTGTTGGACTTCCATGCTTTTCCAGTTCCTCGGCGCTGTTCGGCGCTGCTTTTTGCTTGTGCCTCGCGGGTTTTGTTAGCCGGGCCCCTCAGGGGTGTGGGATCTTCCGGACCACCTGGGAGTTCTGGAGGCCTCCTGGAGGCTTGGAGAACCGTCGGAAGGGTGTCTCGGACTGCGCGGGAGCGTGTTAGGCCGTTCTTTACGTTCTGGGGGCTCCTTGGGGTTGTCTTGGGCTGTCCATGGGCGTCTTGGGGGCCCCCCCGGAAGCCGGAAGGCGCGGTACCGGCCAGATGTCAGGGGATGTGTGGGATACCCGAGTAGGAGTCCCACTATGACAAAAAAAACTGCGAAATCCATATATCTTTTATCTCTGATAATCCACCTGGGAGTCTCGAGCCGTCGGAAGGCTGACTTGGGCTGCTCGGCAGCGTCTTGGACCATCCCTTCGCATGCTGGGGGCTCCTGGGACCCCGGAAAGGCCGGGGGAGCGGTACCAGGAGCGTCCCCGAGATGGTCCGGGGAGGTGTGGGACCCGGGGCCGGGGGGGGGGGCGGTTTGGTGTATATATATATATATATAAGAATAATAATAGTAATAATATACGCACAGACACCCTCCGACAAATCTTGCATGTATCTTCAGGGAGGGCGGCGGTGTACAAAATCGCGTGCTCCCAGTGGTGATTTATGCATCGCCACCCTCACCTGAGGCCCAGAAACAATCCACCGGAGGGCGTTTGTGCATATTTTTCTGTGGCGGATAACGTTGCCCCTGACCTCCCCCCCCTGGCCCCCACCCCCTCTCTTACCAGCCTCGAACTTATCCCTATCCCTAAGATCGACACGCCAGAAGGCGATGACAATCCTAGGGATCCGCCCTCAAAAAATAAGGGAACCCCTAAGATCGGCATCGTGATGAGGAGACGCCCAGCATAGGGATAGGGATATGTTCCAGGCTGGTAACTCACCCCCCCACCACACACACGCGCCTTCTTGAGCCGGCGGCGCTGGATGCTCGCCCGCGTGTGCGCGCGCGGGCGCACGCCGCACACGCACGGCACCTGAGGTCAGGCTGGCAGAGTGGGCTTCGCTCGACGCGTCTACTCAGACAGCAGGCCAGGTCCAGATGTACGACAATTTCCAAAAGGATCCAACGAAGATGCTTGATTCCCTTATAGGAAAACTCTAGAGTCCATGAGAAGTCCTGCTTTGTCTTGAGATTGATGGTTGGTATGAAGGGCTCCGCGCGCGCCCGTGCGCAGGCGCGCACGCGGGCACGGAAGTGCCAGCCGTTCTCTCTAGCAAACCTGTCGGCCCTGTTGGCCTGGAGAGCTTGTTGTGTGTAAGTGTGTGTGTGTGAGTGTGTGCAGACGTGTGTGAGTGTGTGTGTGTGTGTGTGCATGTGTGTAGGCGCGCGCGTGTGTGTAAGTGTGTGTGTGTGCATGTGTGGAAGTGTGCGTGTGTTTGTGTGTGTGCAAGTGTGTATAAGTGTGTGTAAGTGTGTATTTGTGTGCGCGTGTGTAGGCGTGTGTGTGTGTAAGTGTGTGTGTGTGTGCGTGCGTGCGTGCGTGTGTGCGTGCTTGTGTGTGTGATTGCCTGCGTTCGTGCGTGCGTGTGTGTGTGTGTGTGCGTGTGTGTGTGTGTGAGTATGAGTGTGAGTGTGAGTGTGAGTGTGAGTGTGAGTGTGAGTGTGAGTGTGTGTGCGTGTGTGTATGTGTGTGCGTGTATGTGTAGGCGTGTGTGTGTGTATTTGTGCAAGTGTGTAAGTGTGTGTAAGAATGTGTGTGTGCGAGTGTATGTGTGTATGTGCGCGTAGGTGTGTGTAAGAGTGTGTGTATATGTGTGTGTGCGTGTGTGTGCGTGCGTGCTTGCGTGCGTGCTTGTGTGTGTGCGTGCGTGTGAGTGTGAGTGTGAGTGTGAGTGTGAGTGTGCGTGTGAGTGTGTGTGTGTGCGTGTGTGTGTGTGTGTGCGTGAATGTAGGCATGTGTATGTAAGTGGGTGTAAGTGTGTGCAAGTGTGTGTAAGTGTGTGTGTGCGTGTGTAGGCGTGTGTGTAAGCGTGTGTGTAGGCATGTGTGTGTGCGTGCGTGCGTGCGTGCGCGCTTGTGAATGTGAGCGCGTGCGTGCGTGTGTGTGCGTGTGTGTGTGTGTGTTTGTGTGTGTGAGTGTGTGTGTGTGTTTGTTTGTGTGCGTGCGTGCGTGCGTGCGTGCGCGCGCGTGTGTGTGTGTGCTTGCGTGCGTGCGTGCGTGCGTGTGTGTGCGCGTGTGTGCGTGTGTGTGTGTGAGTGTGAGTGTGAGTGGAGTGTGAGTGTGAATGTGTGTGTGTGTGTTTGGCACTGCACAGGGCGGGTGCGCCCCGGCCTCGCACCCACTGGCTTTGCGCTGCGTTCACCGTTGCGCACACGGAGCAACTGCGGCTCCATACGGGCTGCTCTGCAAGGGCTAAGCGAACCGGAAGCATCTGTGTGCACATCACGCTGACGCACTGGGACCGCCATCAGTCTAGCAACAGCCACCAGGTACACGGGTGGGCACATACACCCACAATTTAGAGTTGACGAAATATGGTGAGGCACCACTCGCAATGCAGGGCAAATTGGAGTACAACGGCTAAGTCGTGATGCTCCCTGAGAACAAACGCGCTGACCTACAGTAGAGACAAAGATGCAACACATGAGCAGGCAGCAGGCGCAACCGTGGTGTGTGATTGATCAACGGCTGAGGCAGGCAAGCTGTACCTCTTTTGCTCCCCACAGTGCGTTGGCCTTCGCGATAGCGGCAGTGACAGCAGCTGGGGATGCTTTGTTTCAGAAGGCTGGCCATGCTTGGCCGATAGCGGGCAAAGCACATCTGTACACGCTGGCATTGTCACGAAGTTTGGTCTTGAAAGACGGGCTCGACTACAATCCAGGCATCGACACGGAAAACCGTACATCAAGAACCTCCAGCTAGCTGTAGAGAAATCGTTTGGCGCGAGCGCCGAACCAGCTCTCGCCTGACTCTGCTGGTTTCCGAGCCATGGGAAATCAAATAAGTGAGCACTGGGACTAAAAGACCGATGACAGGGCCGGTGGAGGAAAGGGATATCAATGCAAACAAATTGCAACAGCCAGCACAAAAAAAAGGACGACCCCAACATCCGGCGTCGATGAACAGCACAGCCTCGTGAGCGAAATGCAAACAACAATCATAAAAAACTCCCGACGGCATCATAACAGTGCGATAGCAATTCGGACCGAAACGCGGGGCACACCAGACCCGAAATGAATGCTGCACCAGCTGTCGTGGATAAGGGCCCGCGGTCGACGCCACGTCGAATGATGGTGTGCCCTGTCCACATCCTCTTGACGAATCAAGTGTTGCCGTGCCCGCGTGCACCTGTGGTCCTGGCCAAGAGAAGCTATATCAACAGGTGTCCTGCTCGCTTGTGCCCTGCGGACAGAAAGAAACTAGAGTCGGGCGCTGTCCTGCGCGCCTGCGCCTGGCCGAGGCGTAGTCCTTACGGGGGTGGGATCAAACGAAAGGGAGAGGGAGAGGGAGGAAACGAGAGAGAGAGAGAAACAAAAAAATGATGCAAAACACAACAATAATAATGATATAGTAATAATGAAGATATTTTAAGAATGATAATAAACCGGCGAACTAAACACACATATGCAATTGAGAGCACCGCCGTTGTGAATCTCGTTTTCGGTGGAGCTCCCTATGAAGCCAAGCACCGTGTGAACGGCGCGCCTATGTGTGGCGGGGTACGCAACACGGAAGAATACGATAGGCTTGATAACGAGAGCGGGTGAGTCTGAGCACGAGTGAGTCTGATTGTGCATGAGTCTGCGTGCGAGTGAGTCTATGTGTATGAATGTCGACGCCCATGTCGGCACGACCCTCGCGTGGATGGCCCCCGCTTCCTCCCCCCTCTCTGTTTCTCCTTCTTTGCCCGCGCACTCCAGTGTCCCAAGCTGCGGGCGCAGCGCAGCGCGGAGTCCCCGCGACACGCGCTGGTCGCCCCGAAGGGGTCCCAGCAACGCACGCGGGTCGTCCGCTGCGCGGAGCACAGCGAACTAGCTGGCTGGCTGAGAGCGGGCAAGGCTCTGGCCGCCGCGCAGAGCGACGACGGGCGAACGAGGCGATGGGCAGCGCGCAGCACGGAGTCCCCGCGACGCACGCTGGTCGCCCCGAGAGGGCCCCAGCGACGCGCACGGGTCGTTCGCGGCGCCAGGCCGAACTGTTGGACAGCCTGCACATGGCGCGGCTCGGGCGGGCCGCTCCCCAGGTCAGACCTCGCGGATACACTCGGCGAAGTCCAGCTCTCTGGCGAGGGCTGCCGCCTCCCTCCTGCACCGCTTCGTGCGCGACGCAGGCTGCTCCACCTGCGCAACTGGGGCCTTCGGCGGAGCTCCCTTTGTGGCCACGAAACGTGTGAGGGGTGTGCCGACATGGATGTGCGTGACGCATGCGGGATGCGCCATTGGGACCTTCGGCAGAGCTCCCTATGGGGCCACGAGACGTGTGAGGGGTGTGCCGAAATGGGCGTGCGTGACGCATGCGGGCTGCGCCTCAGGGACCTTCGGCAGAGCTCCCTATAAGGCCACGAAACGTGAGAGTGGCGTGCCGACATGGGTGTGCGTGACGCATGCGGGCTGCGCCACTGGGACCTTCGGTGGAGCTCCCCAGAAGGGCCACGAAACGTGTGAGGGTTGTGCCGACATGGGTGTGCGTGACGCATGCGGGTTGCGCCATTGGGACCTTCGGCGGAACTCCCTATGAGGCCACGAAACGTGTGAGGGGTGTGCCAACATGGGTGTGCGTGACGTATGCGGGCTGCGCCACTGTGACATTCGGCGGGGCTCCCTATGGGGCCACGAAACGTGTGAGGGGTGTGCCGACATGGGTGTGCGTGGCGCATGCGGGCTGCGCCACTGGGACCTTCGGCAGAGCTCCCTATAGGGCCACGAAACGTGTGAGGTGTGTGCCGACATGGGTGCGCGTGACGCATGCGGGCTGCGCCACTGCGACCTTCGGCTGAGCTCCCTATGGGGCCACAAAACGTGTGAGTGGAGTGCCGAATTGGGTGTGCGTAACGCATGCGGGCTGCGCCACTGGGACCTTCGGCGGAGCTCCCTATGAGGCCACGAGACGTGTGAGGGGTGTGCCGACATGGGTGTGCGTGACGTATGCGGTCTGCGCCACTGGGACCTTCGGCGGAGCTCCCTTTGTGGCCACGAAACGTGTGAGGGGTGTGCCGACATGGATGTGCGTGACGCATGCGGGATGCGCCACTGGGACCTTCGGCAGAGCTCCCTATGGGGCCACTAAACATGTGAGGGGTGTGCCGAAATGGGCGTGCGTGACGCATGCGGACTGCGCAACGGGAACCCTACTTCTACTTGCGACGATTTCTGGGGGGGAGGGTGGGGTTCACTTCGCTCGGGAGATCCCGAGCGAAGTGAACGCACCCCACCCCCTCAGAAATCGTGGGGGGTAGATGTAGGGTTCACATGTGGCCCCTCTGGTCATGGGACCCGGGCGCAGCATCAAAGCGAACGATGCCCGGCCAAAAAATCGATCGACACGGGCAGCGGCTGCCGTTGGGAAGACGGCGTTCGCCGCCGAAGCGGACCATGCCCGCCTCGAAAGCGACAGCGGACCACAGCCACAATGAGCAAGATCTGATGACAGGCGGCGTCCCCGTTCGTTGCGTCTCCGCTTCGGCCTCCCAGCTTGGCCAGGAAGGCACATCCAACCATCATGGGCCTGGCCAGGATCGGTGTAGGTGTGCGCTAGTGGCACCCGGCCCACACGGCGAGGAGGAGAGAAAGAGAAAGAGGAGGAGGAGGAGGAAGAGGAGGAGGAGGAGGAGGAAGAGGAGGAGAGAGAGGAGGAGGAGGAGGAGAGAGAGGAGAAAGAGGAGGAGGAGGAGGAGGAGGAGGAGGAGGAGAGAGGAGGAGGAAGGGGAGGACAGCGAGAGGAGGAGGAAGAGGAGAAGCGAGAGACAGAGGAGGAGGCGAGAAGCGGCAACAAGGGCAGGAGGCCCACACCCGCGACGTCCAGGGCCGTCTTCCCCATCTCGTCCCGGTGCCCCGGGTCCGCCCCCGCCTCCAGCAGCAGCGCCCAGACCTCGTGCGGCGCGGCGCCTTTCTGGCGACCGTCGATCGCCGGCTGGCGACCGAAGCCGCTCGCCGACGGATCAATCGCCCAATCGTCGGCTGCCGATCGCGCGCCCCGCCCGCCGTCGACCTTGAAGAAACAGCGGCGCAACCTTGATCGCACGTCGGTCGAAGAAAGCAGTCAGAAACATGAGGTAGGGAGGCGGATACAAAAAAAGATTTGGTGCCAGCCCCCCCCAGGGAATGACAAAGCACAACAAAAGCAAATTGATTCTTGGAGCAGGAAGGCGCTTGAAGTAGATTGGGACCTGTGTCTTACAACGACAGGCTTGTAAACTGTCAGCGGCCCGCGCGGATTGCTTGGTTCTGCGCCCAGAACCCCCTGGCGGCGCCTCCGGCGCCGCCCCTGGCTGGCGCTCAGCGCGAGCCGCGCTCCGCGCTCTCCGCGCGCTCCGCTGTTCGGAAGAGATCTTTCGTTCGGAGGACGAGACATCCTGGATAAACGAAGATATGGGCGCTAGATGAAGAGGAGGTGGAGGAGGAGGAAGAGGAGGAGGAGGAGAAGGAGGAGAAGGAGGAGGAAGGATCTATTCCCGCGAACTTCCTTTCGCCTTTGCCTCATCGCTTGCCCGCTGCCTATGGTGCGTGTTCCCGCGAACTCCGGCTCTGAGGCTCTTTCTGGATGGCTTCCCGCTCACCCGTATGCGGTTATAGCTCAGCTTTAATGATGGGCCTGTTTCCCACCACCACCACCATAAGTTGGAGGGGGGAAGGATGTGGAGGCGGAGGAGGAGGAGGAAGAAGAAGAGGAGGAGGAGGACCCCCTCCTCCTCCTACTCATGGTGGTGGTGGTGGAAAACAAGCCCCCGATTTAAGGCACTCCTTGAGCAGGTCCACAGAAGGTCCGGCGGGGACAGGACCTCCGCCACCAGGCCGCAGGCGCGCGGAGCGCGCCCATAGGGGCGGCGCCGGAGGCGCCGCCCAAAAAATCCGCCTCATCCTCCTCCTTCTCATCCCCCTCCTCCTCCCTCCTCCTCCTCCTCCTCCTCCTCCTCCTCCTCCCCCTCCTCCTCCTCCTCCCTCTCCTCCTCCTCCTCCTCCTCCTCCTCCTCCTCCTCCTCCTCCTCTCTCCTCCTCTCCGCCCAGACGCCCGCGCGGAACTCCGACAATCTAGGTGTATGCCGTGTCTTGCTCTTCGGTCAGATCTGGGCGTCGCAGCTCGGTCTCCAATCTTAAGCGGACGGCTTCGCAGGGTTTCCGCCAAGGGGCGCCCAGGCGCAGATCGAGGAAAGTCGCGCGGAGCTTCGAGAAAGTGTGTTGATGACTTTTCTGCTGTTCGATCAGATCTGGGCGTTGCAGACGTTTGTTCTTATTTCATGCTATGTATCTTTCGTTTGCAATCTGGACGTTCAGATGTGGGCATTGTTATCATAGTGTGTGTTCCTGTTTTTGTTGTTATGCGTTGTTCTGAACGAGTACACTTAGACTCGATGCACGAAGATCTTATCAGACAACTGATGTTATTTCTCTTCTCACGACATCGTCTGTCTCGGCCCAGGATGGTCAACTGTCAAGGGATCGCGGGTGGGGAACTTTCCTGTCCGGGGCTTTTGGGTTATCCGTGCTTCGCTTTGCTGGTCTTCGATCTGTCGCTATGGGTTCCCATGCAAGGCTGAACCTAAACGGTGTTTTTCGTTTTCGCGTTGTGTTCGTTTCCCCTCGCTTTCGTCTCGAATCCGCCTTTACAGCAAAACGAAGTCAGATCGAAAACGGCCCACGAAAACACCAAAAACACCGTGGGTGTGTGTAGGTGTGTGTAGTTTTGTGTAGGTGTGTGTAGGTGTGTGTGTGTAGGTGTGTGTGTGTGTGCGTGGGTGTGTATGTGTGTGTGTGTGTGTGTGCGTGGGTGTGTGTGTGTGTGTTGTGGGTGTTTGTGTGTCTTTGTGTGTGCGTGGGTGTGTGGGTGGTGGGGTGGGTGGGTGGGTGGGTGGGTGGGTGGGTGTGGGTGGGTGGGTGGGTGGGTGGGTGGGTGGGTGGGTGGGTGGGTGGGTGGGTGGGTGGGTGGGTGGGTGGTGTGTATGTTGTGTGTGTGTGTCTTTGCGTGGGTGTGTTTTGACTCGGCGATGCGGGAGACTCCTCGATGGTCCTCGCCGAAAACAAACACACGTCCGGGCGATGCCGAGGAAATAGAGACCCTGAGATCCTCCATGCTTCTCAGGCTTCTCGAGGAGCGAGTTCTGAAGCCTCTCGGGACCCTTGGGGGGGGCACTTGAGGGCATCTTGTGACCTCTTTAGTGGCCCTTGGGGCCCTCTTGGGGGCCTGCTGGCGACCTCGAGGACCCACTTCTGGCGGAGGGCTCGACATGTCCGTTGGAGTTCTCGCTCTTGGACCCCTTTTGGGCTGTTTTGGGCGCCTCTTGAACCGCCTTGGGGCTTTCACGGGCCGTCCTGGGGCAGTCTCGAGGGCCTCTTGGGCCGTCTTGGACGCCGAGAATATTCAAAAAGCGAATGTGCTAACAATAAAAATGTTTATCAGGGCCTTCTCCAGGAGCATCTCGGAGCCTTCTTGGGGCGTCGTGGGGGTCCATCGGGAGCTCTTCGGCCGTCTTGAGGCCATCTTAGGGCGTCTTGAGCCCGATTGCGCCGCTCCTGTCGCTGAGTCGTGCTCCCTAGAACTGCTTTTCGCGGCCGGGGTAGCCCGGTGGATGCTCAAAAGGGGCGGGGTGAAATCTGGGAGGGTGTCCCCGCCAGGGGCCTAGGCACTGGCACTCTGGCATATGATATACACGTGTGAACGTATACCGATACATGAGTATACGCAAATGTACACATACATACACACATACACACGTGCACACATGCGAAACTACATACATGCGCACATACATGCATACAGACATACATACATACATAAATCGATGCATACATGAATACATGCATACGTATATACATACATACATACATACATACATACATACATACATACATACATACACACACATACATACATACATACAAACAGACATACATACATACATACATACATATATGCATGCATATACACATACATATATACATACATACTACACATATACATACATGCATACATACATACATACATACATACATGCATGCATGCATGCATACATACATACATACATATACACGTGCATGTATACATACATATATATATGCATACATCGATTCACATATATATATACATAGAACTAAGTATATCTACCTGCATACATACATACATGCATGCCTACATGCGTGCATAACTATATACGTATATACATGCAAGCAACACGCATACATACATACCTACACATATCTGTATACACGTACATGCACAGAAGCCGGCATACATACATATATACATACATGCATTCAACCATATGCATGCATGCACACATATATACATACAGACCTACATACCTATATACATACACATGCACGTCTGCACATACACACGTACATACATACATACATACATACATACATACATACATACATGCATGCATACATGCATACATGGATACACAAACATGCCTACATACATACATACATACATACATGCATACATACATACGTACATATATACATGCATACATACATACACGCATACATACATACATACATACGTACGTACATACATACATACATACATGTGTACATACATGCATGCACGCATGCATACAAACATACATACACGTTCACACACATGCATGCATACATACATGTATGCGTGCATACCACACTGTACATGTATATACACAACTCGACACCTATCCATATATATATACATACAGGCATGCGCATACGCAGATACACAGACATGCGTACATGCATACATGCATGCAGCCAGCCAGAGAGACGGACGGACAGAAAGACAGACAGACAGACATGCATGCGCGCATGCATGCTTGCATGGTTACCTACCAGCCTACCAATCTACCTACCGACCTACCTGCCTACTTACATACACACATACATACATACACACAGACATACATACATACGTACACACATGCATACCTACGTGCATACATACATACATACATACATACATACATACATGCATGCATGCATGCATGCATGCATGTATACAAACAAACATACACATACATACATACACGCATGCATGCATACGTAGATAATAGAGCGCCAGAGGCCTGGTTCCCGAAAGTCTGCAGAGCAAGCCTGCGGCCCAGAAAAGGGCCCAGAGCGCCCAGATGGCCGAAGAAAAACGACGACGGCCCTGGGGCCACAGAATGGCAGCTGGAGGCCGAAATCGAGAGCCATATCGGCAGCGAGCGCGGGGGGGAAATGAGATGGAGAAGGCATTCTCAGAAGGCGGCGGAACTTCTGAGAAGCCCTGGCGCCTTCTGAGAAATGTTAAGTATCTTCGGAGAAGGCTTGGAACATTTCTTTGAAGGCCAGCGGACCTCCGAACCTTCTGAGAAGGACCGCCCTTTCTCACTTTCCTCCCTCGCTCGCCGCCGAACAAAATCATGAAGGGAATGGGTCCCGTGGGAAACAGGTCCTGGAAGTGTTTGGCCGTCTTCGGGCTCCTCCAGGCCCTCCCCAAGCCTCAAGAAACCACAAAACTATTCAGGGTGAAGAGACGTCGGGGATCTACCGACCAGGGTCAATCCAGACCAGCGTCAGTCAGGCTTTGCAGGATCCTGAAGCCTTGCAGGATCCAGCAGGATCCTGCACCCAAGCCCAGGTCAGCGCGCCCCTGGCACTGCGAGATCCTGCAAGATCTGGCGCTCTGGTTGACCCCCGTTTGCATTGACCCGCGTCTCAAGGATCCCGAAACTGGCCCAGGAGAAAGATACCGGTGTCTGGGACCCGTGTCACTCAGGAACCCTCTAACACATGGCGAGGAATACACTGGGATCGAGGCAAGTCACGTAGCCAAATGTATGGGTCCGCTCAAGAGCGTTGTGCGATGTCTGATGTGTGCTGTGCGTTGTGTGGTGAGAGCTCTGCGATGCACAAACAAAGCATGGCCGCAAGAAGAACGCGGATCAAGAGCGTGAGACCCTTCGCCGAGGGATGTAGACCGAGGCCCCATGGCCCACGAAGCTGCCCAAAGTGAAGCCTGTTCCAGGGTGGATCGCCCAGAGGCCCGCCGAAGGTGGGGTTGCCCTTGGCCCTCGTGTCAGCCGTGTGCGCTGCGCGTCGCGAGGTGTGATCTAGGCGAGCCGAGGGCTACACGACAGGCTTCTTTTGAGAGATGGAAAAACGACCCTACCCTGGGTTACAAGTGCGTGGTCTGTAAACATCCCGGAAACCCCCAAAGCCTAGAGCCGCCAGGACGCGGCACATCACGCAGGGCTTACCCTGTCCGCCCACAGGAGTTTCAGCGCACAGCGCCTCGTAAACCAGGGTAGGGGCGTTTTTTTATGCCCTTGATTCTTGGGCGATGGCAAAGGGCTACACAAGGGGAGGAGGAGGAGGAGGAGGAGGAGGAGGAGGAGGAGGAGGAGGAGGAGGAGGCGGAGGAGGAGGAGGAGGGGGAGGAGGAGGAGGAGGAGGAGGAGGAGGAGGAGGAGAAGAAGGAGGAGGGGGAGGAGGAGGAGTAGGAGGAGGAGGAGGAGGGACAGGCTTCCTGGGCGATGGCAAACATTGCATGATAGGCAAACTTCCGATGCCCCTTATGGCCCTCGGTGCGCTCCGCGCCCGGGCGGCGCCGGAGGCGCCGCCCGGGGGGGGGGGCCAGCGCCGATCCTAGAGATCCGCGCCGAGCTCCGAGAGAGCGGCCGTGTGTGCCGCTGCCGCGGAGGGGGAGAGAGTCGAATGTTTGACGGCCCCTGGCAGGGCGCCGGCGAAGTCCGACAAAGATTTAGGATGCTGCGCGACGATGCGAGACGATGCGGGATGATGCGAGACGGTATGGGGCCCTTACAGCTAAGATGCATCTCCCACTGTCCATACCAACATCTCACAGCTGCGCCGCCCATCTATCTAGGTGGGCCACCTTGAGGGCCCCTCGGGCAGGAGAGCCCATAATCGAATCGATAAGTAGGATCGGCGATCGAAATGAATCGGATCGGCGGAAATCGGCAGCCGAGTCGGGAAAAGTCGGATCGGCGGAAATCGGCAGGCTACTATGCGTCCCATAGGAAGTCGGAATCCGAATCGGAATCCCAAGTCGAATCGAATCGGAATCGGAAGCCATCGAAATCGAGTCGAATCGAATCGGAGGAGTCGAAACGAGCCCTGCCTCGGGACATGCTTGGGCGCTCTTGGGCCAAGGCCGGGAGCTTTTGCCTCGCGTGTCGCGGCGGCGGCTCCCCGTCACTCGCTGCGCTCTGCAGGCGGGCAGCGTCTCGCTCCGCTCCGCGGGGCGAGGGGCTCGGGGCAGCTCGGGGCGCTGGCGCCCGGGGATCGGGACATGGTCGGCGTGCAGCGCCGAAGTGCAGTGGGCCAGAACCAGCGGAGAGCCCCGAATCGAATCGATAAGCCGGATCGGCGATCGAAATGAATCGAATCGGCGGAAATCGGCAGCCAAGTCGGGAGAAGTCGAATCGGAGGAAGTCGGCAAGTTAGTAGACCTCCGTTGAGCAATCGGAATCCAAATCGGAATTCGAAGCCGAATCGAATCGGAATCGGAAGCCATCGAAATCGAATCGAATCGAATCGGAGGAATCGAAACGAGCCCTAAGAACCAGCGGAGTAAGCCAAAGTTCCCGACCGCATCTGGGGCCACCCCCTGAGAGCCGACGCTGCACAAAGACAATGCACCATCGTACGAAGTCGAGAGCCCCAAGGCCCTGGACCCCCTCTTTCTGCGTCCTTTGTCGAGCCACATCGATCTTTGACGGTCCCGGGGCCCGAAACAAGGCGAAAACGCTTTTTTGATTCGCGGGTCGAGAGCGCACCTCTTCCGGTCGGAGCTAAGCGGGCCGCGCGAAGCTTGCATTAACAAAGAGGGGGGGGGGGACAGGAGGAGCGCAGCCTCACGGCGAGGCCAGGAGGAGGCAAAAAGCCTCGGGATCCGGCGGTGCCGAACACGACGTCCAAAAAAAGGCGAACACGCCCAGCTCGAAAAATCTGAGTCGCCAGGCTCGCAGGGATGCGCCGTGCGCGGGGGGGGGGGGGGGAGGTCTTGCCGTGCGGGGCGGCGGCGGCGGCGGCGGCGGCGGCGGCGCGGGACGTCGTCGCGGCCCTCGTCGGCGGCCCAGTGCAGCACGGTCCAGGAGGGCGGGTCGTCGCGGCCGTGCAGGGCGCCCCAGCCGCGGGCCAGGACGACGGCAAGGGCGTCCCTGTAGACCTGGACGACGGCGAGGTCGACGAGGACGGCGAGGACGGCGAGAACGATGTCGACGAGGACGACGAGGGCGACGACGACGACGACGACGACGACGACGATGAGGTAGACGAGGCGACGAAGTCGACGAGGACGACGAGAACGACGAGGTCGACGAGAATTGCACGCAGCTGGGGTCGACGGTTGACAGCTCCGCCGCTCCGCAGGGCGAGGACTCGTGCTCAGCCTTCAGGCTCGTGGTAAACACGAAATCCGAGAACGTCTGATCGATGGACTGCGACGCGGGGAACTGAGGCGTCGCAGGCCGAATCATCGCCGAGACCGAGGCGAATAAGGGGACATGGGATGGAGGGAAGTCCTCGGGAGAGCGAGTGGGGGATCGAGGAGGCGGAGGAGGAGGAGGAGGAGGAGGAGGAGGAGGAGCGAACGAACGAAGGGTGAAGGTCTGGGTAGGAAGGAGGACGACGCGACGAGGAGGTCCTGATCGCCAACCCGCCGTGCTCCGCCACAGGCCCGTGCCCTCCCCGTTCCTGCTCCGCCTCCGTCGCAGCGTGCCTCCGCCGTCCCCTCCTTTCGGGGATGGACAGACCCCCCTTTAACAAGAAGTGGTGTAGTGAAAACGACCTGATGCCCAAACCTGGCGGGCGCAAGCCTGGAAAATGACGGCCACGGCGCCCTCTCGAGAACCGAAAACGGACAATTCACTAATCGACGTGTCACTGTTCGGGTTTCTGTCCACCCCCGATCCTTGCCTGCGAGATGGCCGGCCGCCTGCGGCGGCGAGCCGCGGAAGAAGAAGGCGGCACTTTTGGCCACCCCAGTACGCACAGCACGCAAGCCGTGGCGGGTCGACGCGGAGCTCTCAGCACGTAGACTGCAAACGTACAGGGCAGGCTTTAATACATGGGATGTTTAAAAAACATATGATATTTAATGCATTATCAATGTATGAGTAAATTTATGCATGAGCTCATCGTTGTGTTTAGTACTGAATCCCTGCATGCTTAATACATGATCCGCACGCGGAGCATGTATTAAAAACGGCCGCGTACGGGCGGACTTGAGTGGACAGGACACGCGAGAGGACACGAGACCCTTCCGAGGTTCTGAGGGCCACATTGCCATGGCAGGGCAAGGAGGCATGGGTCGCGAGGCACAGGACACACAAAGGTTCCCCTGAGTTGGCAGGGTCGGCCTACGAATCCGGGCCCACTGTAGCCCTGACGCGATGCGTTCGCCAAAACGTGGGCCAACACGTTGAGCCAACACGCAGCCTGTTGACACGGACGTGTCGAGCACGGCACGTGCTGCGTCCCAAAACGGGCGTGTCGAGTCAGCTGAGATACGGTATGTATGTGCGTTCGCGGGTCCAAGTGATGATGGGCCTGTTTTCCACCACCACCACCACATAAGTTGGAAGAGGGAAGGAGGAGGAGGAGATAGGAGGAGGAGGGAGGAGGACCCCCTCCCCCTCCCACTCATGGTGGTGGTGGTGGAAAAACAGGCCCATCAAGCGAGGCGCCCAGGCGCACCCGCCACTCCCTGGGCAGGACGCCCTCCGAGGGGAATCGGCGCCGCTCTCCGCCCTCCACCGGCTGCCTCCGCCCGACACTGCCAGTCGCCACAAGCATGAATCCGACTGTGCTGTGGGGAGGCCGGGGGCGCGCTTGCCGTCCAGCTCTCTGAGCTCCCCGAGGTGCCCCCGAGGCCTGCGCGGGTCCCAAGCGGGGCCCTCGGGAGCTGGGAAACTGCCGCGAGGCGCCTGCTGCCCGGGGATGTCCCTCACAACCGCCGCGTTTCCTTGAGGTGCCTGGCGGGTGCACGAGTCAGTGCCGCAAGAGGGCCCAATAAGCTCAACGCAAGGAAGCGCTGGACGCCAAACGGCTGAAAAGGCTGACCAATTCCAGCCGTCCTCCCTCGAGGGAGGGCGAAGGAGGGAGGAGAAGGATGAGACGAGACAGGAGGGGGGAGGCCGTGGCAGAAGAAACGGGGAGGAGGCGGCATGAGGCAATTCAAGTGCCCCTATCATCCCCCCCCCTTCCTTTTCTCCCATCGATGCCCCCCCGCGGGAATGGAGCGAGAGGGGATCAAGGCGAATCTTTATAATGTTCCATGCGTGCATGCCGGCGCCGCCACAAAATCGGATCTGTGGCGGGGGATCGGGCCATATGGTCAGCATCCCACGCCGCGCGCTTGCCCGCGCCGCCGTGCACTCCAACACCAATCTGTGAGACAAACGTAAACGGATGGCGCTGCTGCGAAGGACCACTGACCAAGAGGTCACCTTCCCGAACCCTCCTATCGGGGGCGCGCAAACATGGATTGGTGATCCATGGATCTGGCGCGCGGTCGCCGAATCCATGGATCGGGGGAGGTGCCCTCCCCCCAAAAACGGCCGGTGCCGCCTCGTCCGGCGGCGGAAGTCCGCGATGTCCCATGGAAACGGGACCCGTCGCTACAGTCAACCAGTATAGTAAGGATGCGCGATGAGGATGCAAGGGCCTTGGACGCCCATTGCGAAGCTTTTCGAGCGGGTCGCGGCCAGCGAAAGCGGCGAAGGATGGACCGAGGAGGCAAGGATGCAGGGGTACCCTTGGGAAGGTTGCACATCCTTACTGTGCGGGTTGACTGTAATCCACGCCCCCGTGATCCATGTCTCGGGCCGGGCGAAAGGGGGGGATAGCAAAGGGGGGGTTTGAGAATCAGCTCTCGTAGCTGACTTTCCTGGCGCCTCCCGACTCCGGGAGGCGCCCATGTATCGAGGAATGGGCCCGGCGGCGGGGCAGAAACCAGCTGCATGCAGCAAATTTCGTACCCCCCCCTTTCCCAATCCCCCCCTTTCGTTCGGCCCGAATGTCTGCGATCGCCTGATCCTGGACCTCCTGGCATCTCCCGGAGCGCGTCCTGACCAGAGAGCCGACACGACTCCAGCCGTGGCGGTCTGGGCCCCTCGGAAGGCGAATCCACCAGGGGCCGCAGGTGCAGGCCGCAGGTGGTGGTCGCCTCCTCCTCCTCCTCCTCCTCCTCCTCCTCCTCCTCCTCCTCCTCCTCCTCCCCCTCCTCCTCCTCCCCCTCCTTCCTCCTTCCTCCTTCCTCCTTCCATCTCCTCCATCCTCCCTCCTCCAAACTCCCTCCTCCTTCCTCCCTGCTTCCTCCTCCTCCTCCTCCTCCTCCTCCCTCCTCCCTCCCCCCTCCTCCCACCTCCCTTCTCCCCCATTCCGCCCTCCTCTGTCCTCTCCCCCTTCCCCCTCCAGCCTCCCTCCCTCCTCCAGCCCGAGAGCCGGCGGCGCCGCCGCCGGGGCCTGCGGGAGCCCGGGGGGCAGCGGCGGCCGCGCCGCCGAGCCGCCGCTGCTGGAGGCGGCTTGGAGTCTGCGGCCGGGCCCCCGGGCGCGCCTCCATCGTCGCCGCCGTCGTCCCCGTCGCCGCCGTCGTCCTCGTCGTCGTCGTCGTCGTCGCCGCCGTCGTCGTCGCCGCCGTCGTCGTCGTCGTCGTCGTCGTCGTCGTCGTCGTCGTCGTCGTCGTCGTCGTCGTCGTCGGCATCGTCGACGCCGTCCACGTCGTCGCCTCGTCGCCTTCGCCGCCGTCGTCCTCGTCGTCGTCGCCTTCGCCGCCGTCGTCCTCGTCGTCGTCGTCGTCATCGTCGACGCCGTCGTCGTCGTCGTCAGGCATCGCCGTCAGACTTCCGACGACTTGCTCTGTTCCGCTGCCGCCTGTCCCGCGACTCGGCGGCCTCCGAGGCCCGAAGACTTTGAGCCCCGGGGCCCAGGGGGTCATCCCGAGCTGAGCTGGAGGCGCAGGACTGCCATCAGGTCGGGCATGTCGCCCCCTACAGGCAGATCTTGAAGGACAAATGCAAAATTACCAAATCATAATGAAAAGTGGTCGAACAAAAATAAAAAGCCAAACAATACTTATAAAACAAAAAACACTAAAAAAGAAACGTAATGATAATAAGAGCCCCTACAGGGGGATTTTAGGCGAAGAATTTAAAACACTCCAGACAGATTCATCAACAAAACCCAAACAAACTCAAAAAACCGTCCCCGGGCAATTATGCTTACTATTTTTGAAGATTCCCCCCGTAGAGGGACAGGCCCGCCTTAAAACGACCATGGGGGAAGCGGTCCCCTGTCTCCAACCCTGTACTGCGCCGAACGCGGCGTCCGCTTCGCCTACAGACGCATCCACCCCCTAATGCGCTTGGATACGGAACGACACCCGCTGTGTCTATGGACGCTCGTGACTACAAAACGAAAACGATGTTGGGCATAGGCCCGAGATATTCGTCTTCAAGAAACAAGCCGACTTTGCCCTCAACCTTTAGGTCGGGCCTGTCGCCCTACAAGGGGATTTTGAGCCAAAAATTAGGAATACTCAAAAAATACCCCCCAAATGCTCAAGGCGGGACTCAGGACTCCCAAGGACAACAATGTCTCCCCCTAGGCCGTTGGACCCAACGCCCTCTTCCCAGGGGCTGCGCAGCAATGGCGATGGCCGCTCTCACCTTTCCCATCGCTAGGAACAGATGTCCCGCCCCAGGCTCCACATCACGCTTGGCGCGCAAGGAGAAGAACTTGCTCGGGGGAACGGGATCTGCAAACTGAATAGGCTGGCGGGCGGACACGTTCGACAGGAAACCGGAAGCTCGCCCGCCATCCTGGAAGTCGAGCACGACTTTCTGGGTCATATCGCATGCCCGAATGGCAGGTTGAGGGCGCCCCTGTGGAACTGCTTGTTGGACGAAAGCCTCGCCAGCACGAAGAAGGCCTGCGTGAGTTCCCTAGTGAACCCGACGATGACCACCCGACCTGCACGTTCTAGCCTTGAGCCCGCTTGCGAGGTGCGCGAGGAGTCCGTTGAGGGCGCGGCAGCCGTGGATGAGGCAGCAGCCGACGAAAGGGAAGCAATCTGCTGTGCGGAACTCCTCTGGGCCTCACGGAAATCCTTAAGCTGATTCTCGATGTCATCACATCGGCGTTGAAGAGCAGGGACTGGGGTGGAGCCCTCTACGTTTATAACATGGTTGCCGCCTCTAGCTTGGGTTCGCCCGTTGCCTGTGGTTGCTCTGGTCAGCTGCAGTGCGTGGCCTGTGTGTGTGTGCGTCTGTGCGTATGCGTATGCGTGCGTGCGCGTGTGCGTGCGTGCGCGTGCCCGCGTGCGCCCGCGTGCCTGCGCGCGCGGCTGCGCGCGCGGCCGCGCGCGCGCGGGGCGTGTCCTAAGCGCGCGGGACGGGGGGGGGGGGGGGGCACGGCGCGCATGCGGGGCATGTTCCGAGGGGGGCAGGCGGGGAGGCCCACGGCACGCGTGCGGGGCGTGCTCTGGGGCACACGGGCGGGGGAGGGCGCGCGGCCCGAATTCGCGCAGCAACGGCCGATGGCGAGCAAACTGTGCACCAATGCAAAACAGAAGCTTGCCCGCAAATGATACAATGCGAGCATCGATCGAATTCCGTTCGCGCACCACCTCAATCGCACGCCTTGACCTGCGATTTTACGCGTTCGATGTTGCACCGTTTGCGCGCAACCGGTCATATTCGGCCGGTCTGCGCCGCGTGGCACTTTCGAGAACAATTTGAACAGCAATGGTAGATTGCATGTATACTGTTGTAGAATATGTATATATATATATATATATATATGTACACAAAAAGCGTTGCACATAACCGGCACGATACCATCATCGATAGTGTACCGTTGACGAAATCATCGATAGTGCACCGTTCACGTGCAGCTCTCCGATTTGGTCTGTTTACATACGATTTTCAGTGTACAATATCGCACAATTGACGTGCAGCCCCTTGGGCCATTTTGAATTATTGTTGCCCGTCTTGGGGCTGCCTGGGATCCCGGGGTCCCGATTGGGTCGTCACGGACGCATCTTAAGCCGCGAAAGGGAACTTTTGGGCCGCCTTGGGGACCAAGAGCCGGGACGAAATCCGTTGTGTAGGGGATGTATCATGCGCAACGGCCGCTTTGATGATCTCAGGGTTCCCATCCGCAGTGGATGCCTTGTGTATGTCTCGAGCGAATCGCGACTTCTCAGAACCCGCTGGATGTCGCAAGCGATCTCAACATCTCATTTTTCGAGGATGCCTCGAGCGAGAGCCTCATGTTCAGCATCGGTTTTCTTGTCTTTTAAGGAATGAAAGACATGTTCTTGTTTTCTGATATATATATATATATATACACACCAGCCGTTCAAGTTATCACTTGCTCGAAGATGTCTCGAGCGAGGCGGCCAGTGCTGAATACTCGAGCGCTTGCGAAGGCGATCTCAGCATTCCACTATTTCGAGCATGTCTCGAACGAAAGCCTCGTGCGCACCCTAGAACGTTTTAGTTCGAATCGTCGGGTGCTTGATTTGATCGGGGATGTCTCGAACGAAACAAGCAAAAAAAACACGCCGAGCGAATGATCATTTGCACCAGCGAGCCCTTGGTCCCTCGCGAATTTGCTGCTTTTCATTCTCGGGAAACTTCACCCGACAAACTCCCACCACATTTTCGCTCCCAGAAAGCGCTCCGTGAAATCCGCCAAGCGAATTATGATTTACGGTTCTCAGCCCGCGACCAATGGCGAACTACTTTTAAATATAAGAAGCATTTAAGCAAACAAGCTCCTCTCATCCGCTTGTTCTGGGGAGGCGTTTCACGTCATCCGCCGAACCCCGCTCGCCGGAGGTGCAAAGGCGCGTGAAATAATTGGTTGCCCCCCTCCCTCTCCCCCCCTGATGAATCGATCTACGCCTGCTCGAGCAGGACTCGTGGAAGACAACCAAGAAAGCCTCACGACTGCCCAAGAGGCCTCATTAACATCCAAATAAAGTTTCAAGACGACCTCCGAAAAAAGGGCCCCAAGAAACAATAACCGCCCAAATCTCCTGGTACGACATGGCATGTAATAGTATTTGCACGTTGGGCTCAACGGCGTTCAAGACGGCTCAAAAAGCCCCCATGACCGCTCCAAGAATGCCAAGGAATCCTCCAAAAGGGCCCTAAGACGGCGGAGGAGGGTCCCCAGACGGCCAAACAGGCGCCCAAGATAACCCAAGAAAGCTCCCACAGCCCCCAACAGGGGCCCAAGAGGGGCAACTCGAACAGACATCCCGAACCCTCCGCCCCAAGAGGACCCCCGAGACCGCCAGCCATCAACCCGAGAAACCCCTAAGAGGCCCGAGGAGGCCCCCCAAAACACAAGCAACAAAAAAACAAGGGATCCCCAAGAGGCCCCGAAAGGCCACACCTGTTGACTGCATCTCTTTTCTGGGGGTCGGCCGACTGGCATAGGCCACTTGAACAAAAAGATGCCCGGGCCAAGTGGGCGAGAGCCCCGAGGAACCTTCGGGTACGGATCGGGGGGGGGGGGCAGATTTACCTGGGGCGATATATGGGCAACGTTTGGGGGGGCATGTTGCGTGAAAACGGTCGGGCTGATCCAAAACCAGCTCAGCCTCGGGGGGATCCCCCTCCCTTTTCCTTTGGGCACGCTGGGAACACAATGAAAGCTGGATAGCAACGACATCCCTACGGTTCGCCTACCTTCAGGAAGCAAAAAAAATCGTATAGAACTTTGAACCCACGCATTACCTCACACTTGATTGCTGCACGAATGCGAATCTCGCGTTGTTTACCCCATGCGTTACGTCCAGCCGATTGCCGCACACGCGGCGAAACATGGTGATGTGCTGTAAGGCGCAACCCAAACGCAAAAGACCGGACCAGTGCAAGAGCAGCCGGTTGCGGCAGCAATCTCGAGCTCGCACCCGCAGCCGCAGCCGCCACAATCCCTCGCGTTCCTCACTTTTCGCGCGTGGCCGTTGTTTCTCGCGCTCTTCCCTCCTCTCTCCTATTTCGCCCTTTCAAGGCTAAGCGAGACGAGCTGAGACACATTGCAGCCAGGAGAAAATATGGCGGGTTGAATACAATCCTCGTGATACCACAACGAACGATGAACTTGACATCGCCTTGCGAACGCGCGTGCCGCATCGGCGGTTCGGGATGGCTTTTCCCAACCATCCTGTGTTGGGTCTTCGTTTGAAGAGACAGCGCCCCGCGGTGTCCTCCTCTCCTCCTTCTCCCCCTCCTCCGTCCTCCCATGCGTGCTTTTGCCCTCCGCACGTCCGTTTTGGCACCGTGCCCTCCGCATGCCCATTTCGGCACACCCCTCACACGGTTCGGTTCGTGGCCCCATAAGAAACTCCACCCAAGGCCCCAGCTGCCGCGTTCACATGCGTCCACTCCGCCCACCGCATGCCACATGCGTCCACACCGCCCACCGCATGCCCATTGCGGCACACCACTCACACGGTCCGTGGCCCCATAAGGAGCTCCACCCAAGGCCCCAGTGGCCCCG